TCTGCTCCTCCTCGTCCTCCTCTCCTTCGTCCTCCTGCTCCCCCTCAGACGAGGAGGAAGCGTTCCTCGCGCGTTTCGCGTTGATTAGGCCAGCAACTGTCCCCTGGTCCGCGACGCCAGCCATCTTGTTACGCAGAATGTCCAGCAGCTTCTCCAGTCTGATAATAGACGAGTGACAAAGTTCACGTTACCATCTCGCGCTCACACGTTCCCCACATTCTAGCCACCGCTACTCCTCCCAAAGAAATTTCTGTAATGCTCTCTTTAGAAGCGGCTTAAGCAACAGTGAGGTCAGCCGAAAGCCATGCTGCCAGCTAGAAGAACAGAAAAAATGGTACACACGACCAAAACTGGTCACTCGCGGTTCTCCCTTGTCCATATGGTGTCGTGGGTGATGGTCTTTCAGGTCTGCGGGGCTGTACAAAAGGAGCGTCAAGCACAGGGTGTAATTTAAAGGGTTAACTGGGTGTACCACTCCGAGGCGTCTAAAAATAGGTAAAATTTGGGAATTTTGTTTCTGGTAGGTGACTGAATGAAAAGTTTCAATTTTTTCAGAGGATATAAACGTAACTTTCAGCTTTATTTTCCAATTTTTTAAAGGAAAAACGTTACAAAATGGAGGAGCTGCTTAAATAAAAATGCATTACCTACAATGTAGCATGCGATTTTTAAAAAATTGTAATTATTATAAAAATGGTGCCAGTTTGAAAAAGAGAAACCCCTTTTTACCAAAAACCATCAACTTTAAATATTTCTAAAATATTGAATAATTGACATATCGAAAAAATAGTGTGCTATATTGTAGGTAATGCATTTTTATTTATAAATCTAAAAGAATTTTTCATTTCATACGTTCCAATCCTTGCCGGTAATGGTGGCCGGCAATCGACGTTCTAGCAGAAGAAGTTTCGCAATAACACCTTCATTTCGAAACATTTCTACTTTTTAAAAATTGTAGAAAAAAGCTGAAAGTTGCATTTACATCCTCTAACAAAAATTAAAACAATTCACTTAGTAATTACCTATAAAAAAAATTCCCAAACTTTTACCTATTTTTGAAGCCTCAAGGTGGTGTTCCTCTGAAATTTTTGCAGAACGCAGTATAAATAAACATGGTTCGATTCTTCGTGAAAAACACGTAGGAAATGTGTGATGAGGGTTTCTCGTGTGAAGCTTTATTCTTGAGGAAATTTATTTGAAAATTTTGCGAGTGTTGAAGAAGAAATGTTAACACTTACATATATCGAAGAATTTGTACATGCATTTTCTTTCTCCTTTTCTTTGCAATAGAAAAGAAGATTCCAAGAGTGTGTTCACAAGGATGAGCAAGTGTAGACACTTTGAAGACAAAATATATTTGTCAACCTGTTAACTGGGGAGGATGAGTAAACTGGTCGTTGATTAGCAAATACTTAGAACATAATAATTTATTTATCGAAGGATTATTCATTTTTTATTGCACTGTTATGCCTGTGTTACACATCAAATGCATCAGATTCGCATTTGCAAGAACTAAGATAAAGCAAGTGGTTATCATTTTTACTCATTTTTCATTATAGAATAGAAAGATTCAATTTCTGTTTGAGAGATGAACACAGCGAACAGGTTAATATGATAAGATATTGTGTTATCATTTCACTTACTCCATATATGTAAGTGTTAACGTTTTTCTAAACACCCTTTATATTTCGTTTTATTAGTTTGATTAGTTTTATCTGCTAAATGGAACAACAGATTTTTACACACTGGTTTATTAATCCCTTCTCTTGGAAAGGGAGTTTCGTACGAAACAATTTTTCTCTAAATTCTTCGCTTATTTTTATACCAAGAATTGCTCCACAATTCAATTTCATTGCAAAGAAACGAGTCTAATTTTCAAAATTGATTTCCTTCAAATGGGAGTTTCACATGAAACAATTTCACTCTGAATTCTTCACTTATTGTTATACGAAGAATCACCCTAAACTCGAATCCGTTACAGTCATTTTCCGTATCTGTCCCCGAAGAATCTTCGGATTGAATTTTTTCTAAGACGAAGTAATCCGTTAAAAAAGAAATTTCACTCGGTAATTTCAACATAATATTTTCCCCCAAAGAATCACACCACGATCATCTGATACAGCGTTCTTGCGGAATGTTCTCCGGCGTTATGCACGAAATGTGAGCGAATTCGAATTTCTTTTAATACATTAGCCGTGGTTTCTTTCAAACTTTAACAGGTTCCCTCCTCGTTGGCGGTGTTAAACGGGTTTGCCAGCGACAAACAGCCGGCTGCAACTGTATAAACAACGAATTAATTTGTTGTTTGCTGTTGTTGACGGGGATTCTACGGAGGCTGTTTGCCGTGGAAATTGTAGAAGAAAGAAAATATCAATTTCGCGCGCGCGCAAACATGCAACGCTGAACGCCGGCTTGAAAACATTAAATTAATATAATATTTGATCATTTATTAAATTGCTGCGTACAAACTCGCGTTGGAACGATCGGAAAGAAGAGGGAGGGTGGGAGAAGGGAAAAATGGAGAGATGTGTGTCGGACGGACCCGAGAGAAAATAAAAATTGACTTTGCTTGTTTAAACTGCACACACCCCGGAACATTTATGATGTTTCAGAGAAAAACAGCGCGATACAGTGGGCTATAATCGAGAATGATACGTTGACCTTTTCGATCAACTCGTTCTCGATGATCGTCCTGAAAAATGTTCCTTTCTTTTTCTCTCTCTTCTGTTTTTTGGTTTCTTCGAGGAAGATTTCTCTGGGGTGGGGAAATTTCGTTGGGATAGAAAATCTCCGGTGTGAGATTAGAACTCTTTGAATTGATACGTCGAGCACAATACGAAGGAATGTATATTGTTACAATGTTGTTCTGTATTGCTAGTCAGTCGTCTTACAAAAAAACCGTATTTAAGGAGGAATAATGAGAAACGTGACTTAAAGTAACAGTAGCAACGTGTTTGTGAAAGATTGCTCGGCTTATTTTGTAAATATACTCTAGGGTTGAAAAGAAATAAGTAGAAGAAAAAAAAAAAAATGTGTGCGAAAGTAGCTTCTCTGAAATGTATGAAAATGGTGAAATATTTTCTTCGACGGGGATTTTCGAGTTGTTTTTAACAAATAGTTGTGTGTTTCGACGATAAATCGAACCAGTTGAAAAATTCAGGGAGACTTTTGCCGCCGAAAATGAAACTAAAAATACGGTACAGGCTTAAAAAGAACAGTGTACACTCGGCATACCTATATATTATATGTATACATAAACAAATAAAAGAAAAAAAAAACGCATGCTAGACAAGCTGCAAAAAAGCCATGCTACTGTGTACGTAATTTACACTGTTTTAAATATACACATTATAATTAATTACAGCTATCGAGTGGCGCTGAAGGAACCTGAGCGTTCGAGAGTCCTTGAAAAAATAGGCATGGTCAATTTTGTTTTAGCTGAATTTACCAATTGTAAAACTCAAACGACGAACTTCCTGCGGTTTCCTTCATTTCCACTGTAAAGATAATAAAAAAAATGTACAAGTTAAGTAGAAGAAGAGTACGAGAGAAAATTCAGCACGAAAATACAGATTCTTAAATAACAATTCTTCTGAAATAAGACGGAATACAAACTCTTCTAGTACTTTTCACGCGGACAGAAGCAATTAAGGAGAAGATACGGTTGTTTCGGACGAACTTAAGCCTGGTTCACACTTCTTCAAACATGATTCGCGTAATTTCGTTTGAATTACAAAAAGAGGTTACTAGATTTTTTTTATAGTATTTCCACTGTTAAAATTCATCAGATTCGTGAAAACTTGCTTAACCGTGTAATAAAAAATCTAATAATAATTATGGAAATCTTATAAATCTATAAAAAAAAATATCCAATAAAAGAGTGTCCTTACCAACTCCCAACGTTCCCAAAAATTCTCCTCTATTTAGTTGCCGCTTCTACTAAAACTAGCTATCACTAATCATAGCTAAAATATCTTTACCAGTTCTCAAAGAATTCCTCTCTAATTGCTACTTGCATGCCAAAAATCTTCCGCATCCCATAAACAAATTACAAATTCATCTAATCACACGAAAGATTCGTGCTCAACCTTTATCAACAATGATCATCCTACGAAAAATTAAATACCCGATAAAACATCTTCTAAAAACAATTCTTGTCTACGTAAAACAACGTAAAATTCATCAACATGAACCGTTTGTATGAACCATCAGGATCGTGAACCAAGCGGAAGTTCGTTCTCCAAGCTAATCGCGCGAGAAGCGTTCACGAGGAAACAAAGAAGAAGACCAGACGACAGCAGGCACACAGAAAGAGAGATTAAAAAAAAAAAAGAAGAAGGTACAGTCTCAAACAGGCAAACAGACAGACAGACATACAGAAAGAAGGAGTGGAACAACGGATAGACCTACGTGCTATTCGACATGTACATAGTAGTAGCCTCTAGCAAGCCCTTGAAGCCCCCCTTGCTCAACGGCGACCGATGGTTCGCGTTTGGTTCGCAGGGGCCCCGCGCGTACGTAGCCTAAATGTAGGCAGTGGTGTAGGTAGCGCGTGAAGGTGCTGTCAGGACTCTGGAGGTCAGGATTCCCGTCGAGCAGAGATCTTTCGGCACGAAGGAGCCACCACCGACTACGGTCACTTCCGGGATCTCGGTGATGGCTCGGCTCGTTTCGTCGACGTCGCCGTCGAGACGATCTTTGTCCTCGCTCACCGTTCTCCGGACGTCTCTCGTCCCATTCTTCAACGTCTCCGTTGCCGCAGCCTTGTCCGCCTCGCTGAACGACCTCTTCGCCAATAAACTACCGTTCTTCTTCTTCCTCTGCTTCTTCGAACCCATCCTTTGATGCTGATGCTGATGATAATAATCCTCTTTCTTCGATACTTTTGTTCTCTTCTCAGACGATACAACACTGGAACTTATCGTACCACTGTTCAACTCTGGACTATTCTCTACAGTGGAGTCAATTTGATTTTCATCTGCTGTCGGAACAATCACTTCGTTGTTGTTCTTCGTGTTTTCGAGAGTTTTGTCGTTAGATTGTACGTCGGATTGGTCGTCTTCTTGTTGCTTGCAATCTTCTGCCTTATCGCTCGATGGAATATCCAAGTTAACGATGTTAGATGTTTCTTCGAGAGCAGCGTCACGAGTGTCCTGGGTGTTGGTAACCACTACTGGAGAACGGTTACCGCTACTGGTAACCTGGTCCCGGTCGTCCATGGTCCAGGAAGCATCCATTGGCGTAGGACTACTACAATCAGCGATTCGATAAACGGTCTGTTTGCCCGTGACGAAATGGTGAGCCACCTCCGCGATTCGGGAACGCAGTATCGAGGTGAAGTGTTGGGGAACCGAGGATGATGATGATGAAGAAGATGATGTTGATGATGATGATGATGATGATGATGGTGGTGCAGGGATCAGGCTACAGGTGTCGGAAAGAGCGGTACGCACGGGGGTGCTGGTTACGTAGGGCGTAGTAGTATCGAAAGTAGCGACAGGCGTGACTGATCTTGCGTTTACGCACTTTGCCACGTGAATCTCGGCCAGGCACTTGGACGCCCGCGCCTCCTGCAGCTCCCGTCGCAGCCCCAGCGTCTCTTCCTCGAACGCGGCGATCTCGCGGCCTTCGTTGCTACGTGTCAATCAACACACAATTTCCACCAGTTTATATATACAATGTCTGCGCACTTCTCCAGACGTCGCGTTCGTGTTTTGGATGTAAGTACGTGAGCGAGTGTACGAGTGAGTCGGTGAATAAGTGAATGAGTGAATAACTGACTAAGAGAATGGGTGAATGAGTCAGTGAGTCAGTGAGTGTATGTCTAAGTAAGTGAATAACTGAATGAGTGAGTCACTCGGTGAGTGTGTGTGTAAGTAAGTGAATAACTAGTGAATGAGTCAGTGAGTCAGTGAGTGTATGTCTAAGTAAGTGAATAACTGAATGAGTGAGTCAGTCGGTGAGTGTGTGTGTAAGTAAGTGAATAACTAAGTGAGTGAGTGAGTGAGTGAGTGAGTGAGTGAATGAGTGAGTGTGTGTGTAAGTAAGTGAATAACTAAGTGAGTGAATGAGTGAGTGAATGTGTCAGTGAGTGAGTGAATGAGTGAGTGTGTACGTAAGTGAATAACTGAGTGAGTGAGTAAGTCAGTAAGTCAATGAGTGAGTGAGTGAGTGAATGTGTCAGTGAGTGAGTGAGTGAATGAATGAATGAATATGTGAGTGAATGAGTGAGTGAGTAAGTGAGTATGTGTGTACGTAAGTGAATAACTGAGTGAGTGAGTAAGTCAGTAAGTCAGTGAGTGAGTGAGTGAATGAATGAATGAATATGTGAGTGAATGAGTGAGTGAGTAAGTTGAGTGTGTGTGTACGTAAGTGAATAACTGAGTGAGTGAGTAAGTCAGTAAGTCAGTGAGTGAGTAAGTGAGTCAGTGAGTAAGTCAGTAAGTCAGTGAGTGAGTGAGTAAGTGAGTGAGTGAGTGAGTGAGTGAGTGAGTGAGTGAGTGAGTGAGTGAGTGAGTGAGTGAATGAGTGAGTGAGTGAGTACTGAATAAGTATGTGTATGTTTCTTGAGAATGAGGGTGGAGAAGAGTCGTGCTTGGATGCATTCTCGTGAGCATGAGTAGAAGAAGACAAGGGACAAATGAGAAAGGGACAAATTGTCATTTGTAAGTTTTTGTACAGAAAGTGTAATTGAATTTGAAGGAAAAGGGAGAAATATTTTGAGGGTAATTGAAGAGTGATCGATGAGTTGCTACTTGCAAGCGTTAGTATTACTGGATTTACTTAGATTGTGATACTATACTTCGATGAGTACTTATTTGTTGGAGAATTTTTTTTTAAGAAAGAGGTAAATTGCAACTTGCAAGCTGATGTTGAAGAAATCGCGTTGTTGCTTTAGCGATAGCGGTGTTAGTGTATTTGTGATACCTTGATTTTTGATTTAATTAAGAATAGTGAAACATTCATATTATTATATTTCTTCGTGGCGAAGATAAGTCTTAGAGCTAAAGGTGAGTTCTTACATGCTGATTAATAATGGCGATCAAGAGAATTCTCGGATTATGTTGAAAAGAAAAAGTTGTTGCAACACCATGTTGACGATTTGTAGCGAA